AGTTTTTTTCTAAGCATATAACACATTGGCAGATCCAGCCCTTCAGATAAGGAGGGGGGGTCATCTGGGCCCCTCCCCTGGATCCACCACTGTAACAATAGACAAGGTTGAGAGTAAGTAACAATCAATACCTTTCGTGCAAGCACATCATCATTGGCTTGTTGGCAACAGAACCAGAAGTGGTTTGGTATAATTGGCTCAATCCAGTCACATATAGCACCACAGTCTTTCAAGTTAGGAGCCTGTTGAGATATTTATTTTTATGAAAACAGCAGTAGCTTATTTTAAAGACATGCTCACTGCATTTTAAGGTTAATATTGATCAGACAAACTATAGATCTGGGATCTACCTTATAATTACATCAGTCAAAGCCTTGACAAGTTTTGCGGACTTGTGCCAAATGTCCAGGTCATGGATGACTTCCTGGAGTTCTCTATGTTGTTCTGCAGTAAAAAAAAAAAAAGATTGTCTATATTGAAGGTTAAAACAATTCTCAGACTGAACCAAAGTGCACTTGTATCCTCTCTTGGTTGAGGAGAAAAAAAATTAATGCAACCTGAGAATGGACTTTACCAACACAACTGTATCAGGATTAAATTGATCGAACCACAACACTTTTAAAGTTATTACTGAACTCCTTAAATCTGGTACTTCTGTGAAAACAATGGAAAACAAAGCAAATAATTATATGCAACAATAATTTTAAGGCCTAAGACATAAGTTTTGAAAAGAGCCAGTTATCCACTTTCTATACATATTTAACAATAATTGTTCAACAATATTGTTGAATAATCCCCAAGACGATTATTCAACATTAACCGCCTTCCGCAAATAATAATTATTTGCCAAAGCGAGGTTAACCACTTAACAATAAATCACCCTGTTTAAACACCATGAAGTCTTTTCTTGCCATCAAAGTCATCAGCATTTGGATATTCGTGTACTTTCAAAAAGGCTTTACTATGAAACTTTGGCAAAACACCCAGTTTATGACAGCGATTTTGTTCTGCTTTATATTCACCGCCTAGCGTGGTGAATATAACGTCATAGTCCGAGATAGCTAACCAATCAGATTGCTTGAATTACCAAGATCACTGATTGTGTATATACTAAATTTCTATAACCCCTTACAATTTAGGTGCAACAACTTTATTTTAGCAAAAGGAAGATATCAGTAAATTTACTGAAAGTCCTTCGCTTCTACACTCCACCCAGAAAATAAATAAGGAATGGCATATGGGTAGGGAAATGAGCAATTGAACTTGCACCCCATCAAAATGGAAGCAGCACAGCAATATCCCTGGTCCTTTATCATGGTGATAAAGACAGGCCATCTGCCCCATTTGCACCTTCTTAATAGAGGGGGAAAGGGGGTGGGGGCTTATAACTAACCTTTTCTTTCCCTGAAAAAGGGGGGGGGAGCTTATTAGAGGGGGGCTTATTTGAGAGGGGGGTTAATAGATGATTTACGGTACATGTAGATAATTTCATTATTGGAATGAAATGCTATACCTTTTAGACCCCGCACCAGTGCCTTGATACAGTAGATGGTGATGCATCTGTGACAAGATGATCTACTTTCAGTACATCCTTCAGCCTTCGTAGTAATCTTAAGTAAGGGCCAGTTTTTCCATGTCAGCGTGCAAAGAAAGTTGTGTCTGATAGCCTGGGGCTGGTGAATTTTCCTATCGGGCTAGTGATTTTTGTTCTTAACTTGCCCAGCGGGCAAGTGCTGTTTTTTGGGGAAATTCAAATCACAGAAGGATTGTAATCAGTCCTGCTAATCAAAAAGGGTTTTGGCGCTAGTTGAAATGACTTGTGGGCTAGTACATGCTAGCTACAGCTTGCCCGAATGGCAGGCTGTAAAACTGACTTTCTTTGCACCCTGCATGTTGGCAGATTTTCCACCCATCTCCTGACTATTAACCACTTCCTGGTCCACTACCAACTTCAGACTCTCTTCCATGAGTGTGTATAAAACACAGATTGTGCAGTGTGCCCAGGAGAGTCTTTTCTTCCAGAACTTTACTGGATGAGAAATGCTGATGTATCACATCCTTAAACATCATTCCACATCCTTTTTATAGAAGGACAGCAATAAAGCTTCTGAATTCCGTAGAAGAGTGTTTCAGAAATAATTTCCAGACCAAGAAACTTGGACAGAAGGCTAAATTTCAAGAAATTATTTCCACTGAGTAATAGCTGCTGCCATTTGAAAATTGTTCACATACACTTTCTGATTATTTCTTACAGTAAGAACATCAGCGGAAGCCCAGGTGCCAAAGTGCCCACTGTCACAGTTCCACTGTAATGTTAGTACAGCACCTGACATTGTTTGCTTCAAAGAAATGGCACCACCACACGTACGACAAGTCTCTGCAGGAAACAATTCTTTGATCTTATCAACAGCGACCAACAAGCTGGTTTTTTAGACAAGTCCAATTCTCTTTTATCTCTCTCCCGGTTTTTTTTTGTAAACCTCTTCCAATTCACTCTACAAAGTATCATGAGACTCGGCAATGGTCTTCTCATGATAGGCAGTCGTATCAGCCTCTGCGTCAAGAATGGTAAGAGTAGCATCCTTGCTGTTTGGCACAGCAGTAGCTTCGTCATGATCAGGATAGTCACGAAAGTCAACCAGAAATAGCTTCTGAAAAACAAAATGTTGTAGAAATATCTAACTGTTTATTTTTCAAATACAGTAACCCATAAAGTAACCCTGTACAGTATATGCTTAAACAGGGTTCTCATTGAATTAGTGCTGGTTTTGGTAACCTGCAGTCAGGATTTTTTTTCTCTTGTGAGCAAGGGAATGGAGAAAAAATTGACAATGGAAATGGAGTGACAGGCCTGGCTGCTGATTTTTGAGCCACCTAATTCACATGAAACAGTGCATACACTGTAAGTTGTGAAGGAAAAGATCGATGCTTACTTAGTTCACCTGGCTGTCTACTTCAAGTTCATGGAATAAAATGCAAAATGGGAGGGTACCTAAGCAAGAGAATGCATAAGTCATGTATGAACTGATTATTATTACCTGTGCAAAATCTTCTCACAGGAAAGTTTTTTTTCTTAGTGGAAAAATTTCACAAGTCACATGATATCAGAACTACAAAGCACATCTTTTCACCTTAATAACACCTTTTTACAATATTGAGGCAGGTACAAGATAACTGAAAACAATAAAGAAACATACAGAAAAATTCTCACTCATTTTCAGAAGTCTCTTGGCAAGACAAAGGATCAAGTATTAGCTCTAGCCTCTCATCTACTCCATCATCTTCTTCACTGCCTACTTCCCTACATGTATCAGACTCTCAGCAACATCACTGCTGTCATCCTGCAGATCTAGTAGGATCTTTGACAACCTAAAATGAACAATAAATACCCTAGTGAAATGGATTTCACAATAAACATACAAGATGCACATTAAGGAAAAACACAGTGCACAAGTGGTACATATAATTCTAACCTCTAGGAGATTTATAATATTCATTTATTAACAATATTTAAATAGAAACGACCAATTCAGCAAAGCTTGTGTAAATGGGACTCTGATAAAAAAGAAAAACAACTTACAACACAATAGAAATAAAAATAGCACAATAGTATATCAAAAGTATGAGATGCTCAATTTGGCAAGGATCTAAAGTGCCTTTTTAGGTCAGACTTAACTACTAATATCGTGCTCATTCCACAGGTCCAGGGGAAGCGTGTTCCAGATCTTGGCTCCGCTGAACATGAAGGAGCCCTGGTACTTGGTTGTCCTGGTTAGCGACAAGTGCAGCAAATCATAGTTGAGGTAGATGAAGACATTCTACTGGGCTTAAAAATCCGTTTTAACTGATCCTTAACTAACCATAAAATGATATTCAAAACAGTTTATTTAACAATTATTCCTCGAGTCTCTATCAACGAAATGAGTAACTGGAGTCAAATAACAAGTTCCAAATCAATAACCATGGCTAGGACCACAAAATATGTTACTACCTCATGCTTTCCTTTCACAATAAAAACCATTGCATTGCATTGGATAGGGTACAATAGAGTTACTTGTTCAATTTTGAACCAAAACATTTTAAACATTGTCGGATATTTTTCATGAGGAGGTGTGACCATGTTGAAGACTTTCTTTCTGAAAATCAGCCCTTTTTAGTTTCCTGTTGTTGTATCCCAGGCTAGGACATTAAGAAACATTAAGAAAGGATGACAATGAGTGTTTGTCTATTACATCACGCTAAAGAATGACTGCAGTCAAATCATCAGCATATTTTCAAGGACCTAGGTTATCACCAAAGCCATAAAGTTACCAGGTCTGGGCTTGCAGCTAATTTCTTAAAAGGGTTGAGGCCCAGATCTGTAGACAAGAGTATAAACAGTTCCACTTCTCTTGTGATCCCATGAGTCTGACTGAGAAACATTCTATTCACTTTAGTGCCAAAACATTTCATTGAAATACAAAGTAAATAATATTTCAGCAATGAACATAGCATTCATTAGAAGAATAAAAAGTAGATTTTGCCCCCACAAGGAAATTAAAACTTGGAAATAATTCTTTTTATGAAGGGACTCTCATTTCATAGTAACAGCATGCATCAACCAATGAATAATAGTAATTTTTAATAATAATATAATGAATAAATTTTGATTTAAATTTTTTGGGGCAGCAGAATCAAACTGTTCTAGTGACTGTATGTATGTCTGTAGTGAGTTCCTGAGTGACTCTCATTTCATAGTAACAGCATGCATCAACCAATGAATAATAGTAATTTATAATAATAATATATTGAATAAATTTTGATTTAAATTTTTTTGGGCAGCGGAATCAAACTGTTCCGATGACTGTATGTCTGTAGCGAGTTCCTTCAACAATGTTGAAAAGAACATATGCCAGATCTCTGATCAGCACCCAGTAAACTGGTTTCACTAATCCTCACTCTTTTTTGAAGCCAAATCTGCTTCTATAATCCTTGAATAAATCAGTTCTGGGCTTTCTCACAAACCAATGGTTGGGGCCAGATTCCTTGGGTGATCTGATGGAAGAGAAATAACCCTTGCAGCAATCCTTGTCATCCACTCTTGCCTTTAGGATGCTGGCCATCAGGAACTGGATGTAGTCATAGGTTTTTTCAGCCCTAACGGGTTCAGGGTGCCCATGCTTAGTTCTCTTTGAATACTGCTTCTTGAAGATTAGGTGACCATTTTTGGTGGTGGCTTGTGGTCTAAAGCTGTGCATGTTATGGTCAAGAGCAGCAAGGAGCACCCGGGCACAAAAAGCTATGAAATAAAAATAAAACTCTCTCTTCTGTATATATCTAAGCAAGCAAAACCAGGTAAAAGCACAACTGTAACTAGGATGAAATACCTTGCAATACAATGACTGCAAGATCCTAATTGGTAAAAAAAATAGATACTTACTCAAAGGCATTTCTTTTACGGAAATACTTAAGCATCTTGCTGTTGAAGTTTTCAAGCAAACTGGTATATGCCTACAATAAAAAATCACACAATTTAGTTCCAATTAATGTTTAAAAAATTCTGTGTAAATATCTGTGTGAAAAATGTTTAAAAACTGTATTAGTATTAGCATGTTAAGTGTTGGTATACATGCCCGCATACAGGTCTGGAAATTTTTTTTTTAGGCTACAAAAGGACAATATTATTTTATATGTAAATCTAAAAGCTGCTCCCCTGTTTCTGAGATTTTATGGATCTAGCAAAGGAATACTTAATTCATAAATTTTTGCCACTAGTAGAACAAAATTGCTTACTTGAACCAAATATAAAAGACCAAACTTTCTAGCCATCTCTTGTCCAATATGACCTTTGTTAGGGCTTCTAATGCCTTGGACCCTTTTCCAAGGAGTGGTTTGTCAGTATCTGATGATACGAGTGGACTGTTAGAGTACTGGCCATCACTCCATTCATGTTCTCCTACCACATGATGAAGAACATCCTGCCACAATTATTGTCCTAGAAAGAATAGCACGCCGGGCAGAAAAGCAAGTTACAATTTTCATTCTTTTTATAGCTTAAGAAACAGTCGAGAATTCGCAGCACCACTACTACAGTAGTTTTGCGTGAGAATTGGCGTCTGAGGAACAACAACAAAAATATCATATCGATGACATAAAATCTGCCCAGATGACTGGCCAAAACTTCTGATTGGTTGTAAAGCAAGTGTAACACTAAAAAGCTTCCCAACAGCTGTTTTCAAAAGAAAACGAGAGGAGGAAGAATAAGCAAGAGTTCATTGTAAATGCTGAACAATCTATGGTACTTTCAAAGGTCAATAAAAAGCTTTGTTCAGTAATAAAAGAAACAAAATGCTGTTTATCCCTGGAAAAACAACAATACAGCTTTCAAGAAGTGTTCAAGGTTTGTTTATTACACCTGTGCCAGGGAAATTTGCTTCCACCATCAATCGGAAGCCCTGCCCAGATTTTATGTAATCAGTATTGAATTTTCCCTGATCAATTTGGGGCAAAGCCAGTTGTGGGTTTGCATACAAATCAAAACAGTTTGAATAAACTAGAACTACTTATATCTTCTGATGGATGCATGGAAATCCAATTCCACGAAAGGTTTGATGGCAAAGATTTCGTAGCAGTAAAAATAAAGGTAAGCTACGTTAATTAAGTTGTATGAAATTGCCATTAGGATAAATTGACAGTGTATTCATAGTCTGTGAGTTTTTTTCTAAGCATATAACACATTGGCAGATCCAGCCCTTCAGATAAGGAGGGGGGGGGGTCATCTGGGCCCCTCCCCTGGATCCACCACTGTAACAATAGACAAGGTTGAGAGTAAGTAACAATCAATACCTTTCGTGCAAGCACATCATCATTGGCTTGTTGGCAACAGAACCAGAAGTGGTTTGGTATAATTGGCTCAATCCAGTCACATATAGCACCACAGTCTTTCAAGTTAGGAGCCTGTTGAGATATTTATTTTTATGAAAACAGCAGTAGCTTATTTTAAAGACATGCTCACTGCATTTTAAGGTTAATATTGATCAGACAAACTATAGATCTGGGATCTACCTTATAATTACATCAGTCAAAGCCTTGACAAGTTTTGCGGACTTGTGCCAAATGTCCAGGTCATGGATGACTTCCTGGAGTTCTCTATGTTGTTCTGCAGTAAAAAAAAAAAAGATTGTCTATATTGAAGGTTAAAACAATTCTCAGACTGAACCAAAGTGCACTTGTATCCTCTCTTGGTTGAGGAGAAAAAAAATTAATGCAACCTGAGAATGGACTTTACCAACACAACTGTATCAGGATTAAATTGATCGAACCACAACACTTTTAAAGTTATTACTGAACTCCTTAAATCTGGTACTTCTGTGAAAACAATGGAAAACAAAGCAAATAATTATATGCAACAATAATTTTAAGGCCTAAGACATAAGTTTTGAAAAGAGCCAGTTATCCACTTTCTATACATATTTAACAATAATTGTTCAACAATATTGTTGAATAATCCCCAAGACGATTATTCAACATTAACTTCGCCTTCCGCAAATAATAATTATTTGCCAAAGGCGAAGTTAACCACTTAACAATAAATCACCCTGTTTAAACACCATGAAGTCTTTTCTTGCCATCAAAGTCATCAGCATTTGGATATTCGTGTACTTTCAAAAAGGCTTTACCATGAAACTTTGGCAAAACACCCAGTTTATGACAGCGATTTTGTTCTGCTTTATATTCACCGCCTAGCGTGGTGAATATAACGTCATAGTCCGAGATAGCTAACCAATCAGATTGCTTGAATTACCAAGATCACTGATTGTGTATATACTAAATTTCTATAACCCCTTACAATTTAGGTGCAACAACTTTATTTTAGCAAAAGGAAGATATCAGTAAATTTACTGAAAGTCCTTCGCTTCTACACTCCACCCAGAAAATAAATAAGGAATGGCATATGGGTAGGGAAATGAGCAATTGAACTTGCACCCCATCAAAATGGAAGCAGCACAGCAATATCCCTGGTCCTTTATCATGGTGATAAAGACAGGCCATCTGCCCCATTTGCACCTTCTTAATAGAGGGGGAAAGGGGGTGGGGGCTTATAACTAACCTTTTCTTTCCCTGAAAAAGGGGGGGGGAGCTTATTAGAGGGGGGGCTTATTTGAGAGGGGGGGGGTTAATAGATGATTTACGGTACATGTAGATAATTTCATTATTGGAATGAAATGCTATACCTTTTAGACCCCGCACCAGTGCCTTGATACAGTAGATGGTGATGCATCTGTGACAAGATGATCTACTTTCAGTACATCCTTCAGCCTTCGTAGTAATCTTAAGTAAGGGCCAGTTTTTCCATGTCAGCGTGCAAAGAAAGTTGTGTCTGATAGCCTGGGGCTGGTGAATTTTCCTATCGGGCTAGTGATTTTTGTTCTTAACTTGCCCAGCGGGCAAGTGCTGTTTTTTGGGGAAATTCAAATCACAGAAGGATTGTAATCAGTCCTGCTAATCAAAAAGGGTTTTGGCGCTAGTTGAAATGACTTGTGGGCTAGTACATGCTAGCTACAGCTTGCCCGAATGGCAGGCTGTAAAACTGACTTTCTTTGCACCCTGCATGTTGGCAGATTTTCCACCCATCTCCTGACTATTAACCACTTCCTGGTCCACTACCAACTTCAGACTCTCTTCCATGAGTGTGTATAAAACACAGATTGTGCAGTGTGCCCAGGAGAGTCTTTTCTTCCAGAACTTTACTGGATGAGAAATGCTGATGTATCACATCCTTAAACATCATTCCACATCCTTTTTATAGAAGGACAGCAATAAAGCTTCTGAATTCCGTAGAAGAGTGTTTCAGAAATAATTTCCAGACCAAGAAACTTGGACAGAAGGCTAAATTTCAAGAAATTATTTCCACTGAGTAATAGCTGCTGCCATTTGAAAATTGTTCACATACACTTTCTGATTATTTCTTACAGTAAGAACATCAGCGGAAGCCCAGGTGCCAAAGTGCCCACTGTCACAGTTCCACTGTAATGTTAGTACAGCACCTGACATTGTTTGCTTCAAAGAAATGGCACCACCCACGCACGACAAGTCTCTGCAGGAAACAATTCTTTGATCTTATCAACAGCGACCAACAAGCTGGTTTTTAGACAAGTCCAATTCTCTTTTATCTCTCTCCCGGTTTTTTTTTGTAAACCTCTTCCAATTCACTCTACAAAGTATCATGAGACTCGGCAATGGTCTTCTCATGATAGGCAGTCGTATCAGCCTCTGCGTCAAGAATGGTAAGAGTAGCATCCTTGCTGTTTGGCACAGCAGTAGCTTCGTCATGATCAGGATAGTCACGAAAGTCAACCAGAAATAGCTTCTGAAAAACAAAATGTTGTAGAAATATCTAACTGTTTATTTTTCAAATACAGTAACCCATAAAGTAACCCTGTACAGTATATGCTTAAACAGGGTTCTCATTGAATTAGTGCTGGTTTTTGGTAACCTGCAGTCAGGATTTTTTTCTCTTGTGAGCAAGGGAATGGAGAAAAAATTGACAATGGAAATGGAGTGACAGGCCTGGCTGCTGATTTTTGAGCCACCTAATTCACATGAAACAGTGCATACACTGTAAGTTGTGAAGGAAAAGATCGATGCTTACTTAGTTCACCTGGCTGTCTACTTCAAGTTCATGGAATAAAATGCAAAATGGGAGGGTACCTAAGCAAGAGAATGCATAAGTCATGTATGAACTGATTATTATTACCTGTGCAAAATCTTCTCACAGGAAAGTTTTTTTTCTTAGTGGAAAAATTTCACAAGTCACATGATATCAGAACTACAAAGCACATCTTTTCACCTTAATAACACCTTTTTACAATATTGAGGCAGGTACAAGATAACTGAAAACAATAAAGAAACATACAGAAAAATTCTCACTCATTTTCAGAAGTCTCTTGGCAAGACAAAGGATCAAGTATTAGCTCTAGCCTCTCATCTACTCCATCATCTTCTTCACTGCCTACTTCCCTACATGTATCAGACTCTCAGCAACATCACTGCTGTCATCCTGCAGATCTAGTAGGATCTTTGACAACCTAAAATGAACAATAAATACCCTAGTGAAATGGATTTCACAATAAACATACAAGATGCACATTAAGGAAAAACACAGTGCACAAGTGGTACATATAATTCTAACCTCTAGGAGATTTATAATATTCATTTATTAACAATATTTAAATAGAAACGACCAATTCAGCAAAGCTTGTGTAAATGGGACTCTGATAAAAAAGAAAAACAACTTACAACACAATAGAAATAAAAATAGCACAATAGTATATCAAAAGTATGAGATGCTCAATTTGGCAAGGATCTAAAGTGCCTTTTTAGGTCAGACTTAACTACTAATATCGTGCTCATTCCACAGGTCCAGGGGAAGCGTGTTCCAGATCTTGGCTCCGCTGAACATGAAGGAGCCCTGGTACTTGGTTGTCCTGGTTAGCGACAAGTGCAGCAAATCATAGTTGAGGTAGATGAAGACATTCTACTGGGCTTAAAAATCCGTTTTAACTGATCCTTAACTAACCATAAAATGATATTCAAAACAGTTTATTTAACAATTATTCCTCGAGTCTGAATGGGCTCTGAGTTAATAGCCCATTAGGCTGAAGGCCGAATGGGCTATTAACTCAGAGACCATGAGGGCGAGAGGATAATTGTTTTAGTAAAATCCAACTACTTGGTAAAAAATATCTAGACAAAACAACTTTAGCTGGCAAAACATGATTCAGCCACCATTGTTTTGGTTTTCAAAACCGGCGCTTTTCGCTACTGGTAGGCTATAACATATAGCCTAGTAGTTGCTCAACCAATCAGAATGCAGCATTGGTAATAGACCACTAGTTGGATTTTACTAAAATATTATAGCCTGAAATGCTTCTTGAATAAATTAATGTAAGACTCACATGTCATTAAATTCTTGATTATCTTCAATGTCATCATGTACTGGGACATGAGCAACCCTGGCATCAACAACAAATGGGTTGCTCTCATTTCCTAGTCTCGTTTGAGAGAAAGGATCAAATATTAGTTTTAATTCTGCCTCCTCAGTGACATTGATGCCAGTTATGTCAACACACCTGAGAGAAATAATTGAAATACAGAAAATTTAACACTAGATGTAATCATGCAATCAATAAAATAATATTCTCAAACTCATTAATAATTCATTAAGAAAATACAAAGGAAATTAATGTTTAATGAGTGTTTGGAAATCGGATGAAACACTGCTTAGTATTTGCATTCTTAATTTCTCCTTCAAAAATGATTTTGTTTGAGAAGAAACCCTTGCGAAATAACTTTAGAATTCCTAGGATTATCCTAGGAATTCCTAGGAAAAAAATCCTAGGAATTCCAAGGAATCGTAGGTGTGAATTTTCACGGTAAATTCGGACTTGGAATTCCTAGGAATTCCTAGGAATTCCCAGTTTAAAAAGTTCTGGTTCTAAATTCCTAGAAATTCCCGGAAATTCGAAATGGAAATGAAACTAGACTTGGAATTCCTAGGAATTCCAACCTACAAGATTTTAAAGCACAAAAAATTCTTAGAAATTCCCAGAAATTCCTAGTAATTCCTAGGAATTCTAGGAGTTTACAGGTTTAACATCATGTCATCAATCAACATCCAATGCCAGGATAGTAAAGTATACGCAAATTTAATGATTAATTACCAACTGGAGAAAGCATGGAAATTGCATTTAAACAAGTTTATGATAATGTTCAAAATCACATCTTATGGTACATGTTTTGTTTTTTAAAAAATTGAAAGTCCTGAGATATAAATTGTTCTTGAGTCATTATTGAAAAATTGTGGGACATATTTGTAACTGGAATAATACAGCAAAAGAGTCTTGATTGAATTAATTTTACAGCGGGAACATATATGTAAAAAAAGAAAAAGTCAGGCCAACTTGCTTCCAGCAAGCTTATCTGCTAAGCCCTTATTGAGCCGCTCTTTTAATTCAGGTCTCAAACTGAGAACAAAATAATGAACTGGAAACTAAAATACTCGTGGTACATGGCGGTTAAACATACTTGTTCATGACTACAGTAGAACCCCGGCGGTGAACTCGAACTCTAAAGGGAAACGAAAAGTAGTTCGATTTTAAGTGGGGAATTCGAGTTATCGGGGTAAATTTCAGTGAAATCTTGATCAGGAGAAAACAAATTTAGTTCGACTTAGCAGGGAATTCGAGTTATCCGAGCTCGAGTTATCGAGGTTCTACTGTATTAAATCCGCCAGAATCTGATCGAGTATTAGCTTAATCACGTAGAATTCCATCAACCATTTGCAACAACGACTACAGTTATGTCTCCAGTAAACAAAAAGGAACCAATAAATGGTTTTCCATGCCATTTTGAAGTTTCGTGTTCATATATCGGAATGATCTATAATTTCACTTTGATCTCCAGCTTCATTACTGAGTACGTGGTTACCATCAGAAGACACATTACGAAGCAGGAACGTACCTTTACCTTTCACAATCCAGCTGACTTATCGTTCTCGGACATGACTGGAAGCACGTTTCATGTGTCAACAACAAAATAAATGAACAATCCGCGTTTTAAATAACCTCAATTTCGGATGCAAAATACTTGTGCTCTTGCTAATGAAAGTCCGCGTGAATTTGAACTCACCAAACGGAACTTCATTTCACACTTTTCGATTGGTTCTAAAGGGGCACGTGATGATGCAATTCACTTAGTTTGGAGACTGGTAACCAGTATAGCTCAAACATTACGGATGATTTTGCTCGATGATGAGCAAGTTGAAAAAAGCGGTCGTTTTCAGAGCTAAATAAAATATTCCAACGCTTTTGAGGTATAAGCAGCGAGAGGAAAATTTCGTATTGTTTTTTCAAGAAGCGATGACCTTTTATTAGGCAAAGCTGCAATGAAAAACATGTTGTGGACATGTTTGGAAAGCTCAGGTACGAGAAGTGGCACTTTGAATAAGCTTTCAGTATCGTGCTTATTGTTGATAATTTTTTTTTAAAGATTTAAGTCGCAATAAATGTTGTATATAGATGCTGGGTAATGTCAAGAAATCCTTGTTGTTATAGGCAATTAAAGAAATGATTAATAAAATTTTTTTACGTTTTTTATTACCTTTGAACACTTATCGTTTTTCCTAAAAATTAAGCCAGTGTTTCCATGTTAACAATGACTTGGAATTATTGAGAATTCCTAGGTATTCCCACAAATTCTCATTGGGGTTTTAGCAATTCCCAATAATTCCCATAAGTTCCAAAGACAGTTTCCTTCAAACTTGGAATTATTGGGAATTCCTAGGAATTCCCAAAAATTCCCACTGGTGTTTTAACCCATTCCCAAGTATTCCCAAATATTCCAAGGTTTTTTGTCTTTGCTCATTTGCATGTCTTGGAATAAATTGGAATTCCTAGGAATTCCTAGGAATTCCCAGAACTCTGGGAATTCATTTCGCAAGGGAATATCAAACATTCGACACAGTGTTTCATCACCAGATGAAACACCTCGAAGTGCGTCAAAAATACTCCGCTGCGCGTCGTATTTTCAACTCTCTTCTCGGTGTTTCATCTGGTGATGAAACACTGCATCTCATGTTTGATATATTACATCAATATCGGTAATGAGGACATTTGCAATTTGATAAC